GTAAACCCTTGACATTTTACTCACAAACTTAACATAAAAGTGCTTTGCACTTTTATTTAGTTTGTGAGTAAAATTTGTGCTGTATTGTATATTGTATATTTAATACTTTCAGAATAATAGAGTATTGTATACTTGTCATTATAATTATTACATGTAGTACTATGTCATTAATTTATTTTAATCATCTAGAATTTTGGGATTTAGTGGTATTGATACGATACACATTACATGTATAGGGCTTATCTGGGGAGGATTATTGGACTTTACTGTTAAGCTCTCTACATATCACATTAAAGTATGGATTTTGGCTGTACATGTTTATCTAATACATCAAATACGTGGCATTTCAATTATATGTCTGGGTTATAAAAAATCTTTAATATGTAGTATTACTGTGTATTGATCCATTACTTGCACATATTGAGTGCGTACACAGATGAATACTTTGCCTTAAAGCAGCATATTGTATGCTGCATCTGACCTAGTATATGATGAATCTACACTATTTCATAATTCATGGTTTTGTGGCAAGTAAATGAGAACCAGTTTTGATTTTTGGGTTCATCCACCTTAAGCTTTGTTTTCAGGTGTACGTGATGTATATACATCCACTTCGAGATTTGTTTTCAGGTTTCATGCAATTGTTAGCATAGTATATTTATTTGCTGTATGTCTTGTATTTATTTGTTTTTTTATTGTAAATAAATGTGTATTTATTTGGTAGTTGTGTCAGGTAACTGTACATGAACATGTAGTCTGTAAATAAGCTGCCTGCACATGCATTGTTAGAGTCTTTTCTCTAGAGTTGTGGAGTAAAGTGTTGAGCTTCACATTGCAGGTTCAAATCCCACAGCGGGATATGGAGACTGGTTATTCAGATGATACCATACCCGTATAAACTAAGTTCTATGTTGCAGTTTGTGTTGGAGAGAAAAAGCTCCCTCACTGCTCAATTGCCCTCGGGTGCCAAGATGTATAGATGAAGGATATGGAGATAACGAACAGTATTCAATCTCAAAGTCCATAAAACAATACAAAATAAGAGCAGAGCAAACACAGACCTCCAAAACATCAGAGGTGGGATCAGGTGCCATGTAGGAGTGAGCATCCCCTGCCGACAGGTCACACCCGCTGTGTGCTCCTTGTCATGATCTAATTTAAAATTGTGCAAACCTCCTCCAGCAGTCCTTGGTGTCTGTATATCAGTGAAAAAATCTTGATAGGGGAGTTAACATACATGTAAACCAGAACTTTGCTATCTAGAATAAATTGATACATGTATCTTGAATACCATTAAATGTTGAAGTGATGTAGACATCTACCTGAAACATTTTCAAGTATTTTACCCTTAAATGATTTCTTAAAGCTTTGAATTCAAAGTTCTTTCTAATCAGTTCAAATTATTATTTGTTGAAAATTTATATATTTTTTTTCAGAAGATACATTATATGTTATCAGTATCCATGTAATTCCATTTTTCATATAATTATGATGGGAAATCTTGGGATATTAAAACAACACAAAAAATATATTAATCATCAATACATGATTGTATTTATCATTTATTTAAATGGATCTAAAATTAATATTAAATACAATAATACTATCATCATGGTACAATAAATATATAATACTTTTATAACAAATATCATTACAGAATCATTAAAATTGTGTCATAAATATATATTGGAATCCTTACTACCTATAATGCTAAAAACATGCGTAAAGGGAAGTAACTCTTAAAACTCAATCAGTTGAAATACTTTTCACAACCGTGTGAAGAGTTATCTCTCTTATATAACAATGAACCAAGCCTAAAGCTAATTAAACAATAGCTTTAATTGAATTAATATATATTCATTATACTGTCGGTAGAAAAATTAATGAAGGAAATAATGAAATTGAATGCTTAGACACAGATTTGAGATGAGAAAATATGATTTACAGTTTTTAAATTAGAAAATCGTCAGGAGACACACAGTAGGGGATATATATATATATATATATATATATATATATATATATATATATATATATATATATATATATATATATATATATATATATACAATGAGATGTTAAAAAAAGAAAAATAGATCTCAGACTTTGAATTTCACATATTACTTCTTCATGAAACACAGATACTTAGCATAATAGAACTTTTGACAGAGTTTTTTTTACACAATCTGGAATCACTGGAATAAATTGTTTGTACGAATATACAAAATGTTATAAAATGAAACAGTCTTATTTATTATTCAAAGGATTTAACATGCCAACTCTAGATCTCTGACTCTCTCACCTTCTCTGTTACGTGCTCTCTCACACTCTCTCCTTATAAAAAACAAATCTGTATAAACAGGGTTTTTTTTCATGTTAATAAAACAAGAGTCCAATTGGTTATAGGTCAACAGAGAATCATGTAACAACTTTCCAGCAATTAAAGTTGGTTTGCACTTTATTCTTTAAACCAAAAGTAATAAAATTCATCAATTTGAAAGAGGCATAATTCTCATAATTATACACTTAATTAGCATGTTTCCTTTAGTTACTTAATGCTCAGAGATTGATCAGAATAACAAAGAGAAAATATATATTTCCACATTATAACCACCTGTTGTGCACTCAAACCCATCCTATACAAACCATCGACAATTGCAATGGAGCCCACATATTTCAAAATTTTACAAATTTTATTTCATCATACCAAAGAGCAGATCTCCAGGATTAATTCATTATCAGACAAATGATCCTAACCTCCTCTTCCCCTGTCAGGGGACCTTAATTTAACCGTTTTGAAAGAGGGAACTTTTTTCATCATAAATAAGTAATTGGATCATTGTCATATTTACCAGGAGCTAAGAAAAATATTTTCAAATACCCTGGTACTTCATGTATCTTAACTATATAGTCATTAGATCCCCAACTGAACATCAGAACCCCCGACCCAGTGGCCCTGTAATTCATCAATTGGGAAGAACCACCCTACCTCGTCAAAGTTATGTAGTTCAATAATTTAATGCCCCGGAACAAAGGAAAAGAGTTTTAAAGGATTAATGTATTTTCACTATAGAACAAATTGAGCTCCACATTAAAATCAGAAATCCTGACCATGGGGCCATGAAAATTAAGATTGTAAAAGAGACATTCTTGCTTGCTGATCATAACAAAGTACTAAAAGTACATGTTTAGTTCATTTAATACCCAGGGGCCCATTTTACAAAGGAACTTACGACAAAAACCAAACACTAAAGATTATTGTAAAATTTTTGCAAAATTAATACTTCTCTTTGAAATTGTCTGTATAAAAATATCTTACAACATTCTTTTTGATAAGTTTAAAATAATTTCCGATAAAATGTTAATTACAAGAGGCCCATGGGCCACATCGCTCACCTGAGAAGCTATGACAATTCTGTACTTTACTAGATTCACCCCTTGCACCCTACCCCACTGATCATAATTTAGACAATTTGAAATCTACACAGATTTTTCCTATATATTTCTATGTAAAACTTTGATTCCCCATCGTGGCTCCGCCCAATCCCCGGGGGTCTTGATTTGAAAATTTAAAATCTAAAATCAATTTAGAACCTACACTACCCCAGGATGTCTCCACATCAGTTTCAGCTTTTCAGGCACAGTGGTTCTTGAGAAGAAGATTTTTGAAGATTTTTCCTATATATTTCTATGAAAAACTTTGATCCCCATTGTGGCCCCGCCCAATCCTTGGGGGTTATGATTTGAACAATTTAGAATCTACACTACCCCAGGATGCTTTCACATAAGTTTCAGCTTTTCTGACACATTGGTTCTTGAGAAGAAGATTTTCAAAGATTTTTCCTATATATTTCTATGTAAAACTTTGATTCCCCATTGTGGCCCCGCCCTATCCCCGGGGGTCATGATTTGAACAATTTAGAATCTACACTACCCCAGGATGCTTCCACATAAGTTTCAGCTTTTCTGGCCCAGTGGTTCTTGAGAAGAAGATTTTTTAATGACCCCACCCTATTTTTGTCTTTTCTTGATTATCTCTACTTGCGAGGGGATATGTCCCTTCATTTTAACAATTTAAATTCCCCTTCACCCAAGGATGCTTTGAACCAAGTTTGGTCAAAATTGGCCCAGTGGTTCTTGAGAAGAAGTCGAAAATGTGAAAAGTTTACGGACGGACGGACAGACGGACGGACAGACGGACAGACGGACACAATGTGATCAGAAAAGCTCACTTGAGCCTTCGGCTCAGGTGAGCTAAAAAAGTTATATGAATAATGAAACTTGGTCTTAAGTTGTAAGTCTTTTTGTAAAACGGGCCCCAGGTCTAGAAAAGAAGATTTTCAAAGAACTTATGCAATTTCACTACATAATCAATAGCGTCCGCCCGAACACCAAACTCCCTGACCCTGGGGCCATAAAATTAATAATTTTGGATGAGGCATTTTTGCTAAACATAACTATGCAATGTCATAATTAAAAATATGCATTATCACTATATAATCTATTTAGCCTCGTCCAAGTACTAGGACCCCTGATCATCAGGCCATGCATTCCACAATTTTTGGTAGAGGATTCCATGCTGATTACAATCATGCTAACAGTTTTACTGTTTCATGTTTAGGACTAAAGAAAAAGATTTTTAAGGATTACATTAATTCTTGTAGTTTTGGCACCTCCCCTAAGGTCCAAGGGGGACAGGGACAATAAAATTCACATTTATTGTTTCCCCTGTACCCATAGATGTATTGTGCCAAATTTGGTTTAAATGTGTTGTGCTATTGCAGAGAAGAAGCTAAAAATGTTCAAAAGTTAGCACAAAACGGACGTAAACAGATAGCAATAGGTCACCTGAGTCTAGGTGACCTAAAAGGTTATTCTGAGGCCTGTTCAGCAGAGCGAGCGTTCACGATCGCTCGCCAAATTTCCTTATACCTCCAATAGTAATTTTGGCGAGCGCTCCCGAACGCTCACTCTGCTGAACAGGCCTCTGAAGTACATGTATGAGACAGTAGCAGATTCATAACATCCACTATAACTTAATCTGATACATACACAGATAAATTTTGATTCATACATACAATTAAGTTTCAATATATTCACTGTGTATTTAAACAATTCATGTTCCAAATATTTTCTTTGACATACATGTAATATGACCTCTCAGTGTTACATATTTAGTTGTCTTTCTAAAGTCACAGAAAAAACATTTACAAATTCATAATCAGTTGTTTTTTAAATTTGAAACCAATCAAGTCTATCAAAAATCAGATCTATTATTAGAAAAAAAAACCCAATAATTTTGAACTGGAATATCACTACTTTAGTTAATATAAAACAATACACATTTTACTTTTCTTGTTTCAAAGAAAAAGTTCAGATTTACACTCTTAATTCGACTTGTGCTTTATTTCAAGGCTTTTCTACTGCTGCTTTCACATCTTCTATTTCTAAACACAATTTTTTCACCATTTTATGCAGACTTTCCAATTTGATTTTTTCTATAATGGCATTTTCATCTTCCATTCTCAAGGTCATTTTTTGGATTTTATTGAGGTCATCCAAATACTTCTTTCCCGTATGAGTTTCCAATCTTTGGCAGATATCTGAGATAATGGACCAGGTTTTCTGGAATTCTGACTTTGATATGGAGGCTGAGCTAACATGTGCAGTCAAACCATTCCGGATTGACCTAATTCTCTCGACATCATCACCCACGGTCACTTCTCCTGCTGCAGGCTCGTCTCCCCATTTTCGTTTCGTTGGTTTAGGAACTTTTTTACAAATGTTTCTGATCAATGTGTATGTTAATGAGATATCAAAATTTTTATATCCAGAATTTTTAGCATCCTGCAAGAGATGCTCTTGTTCTGGACGTAATCTTTTATAAACTGGTGACACTTTGACAGTGTTTTCAATGTCGGAAGGTTGTACCTCCATCTCCAGTATGTCTTTGTATGCCTGATTCAACACATCATTTGTTGCCATTCCGAGTTTTGCAAATCTAGTTTGGTCCCCCAAGTCTTGTCCTGAGGCAATTGGAGTCGTGGAAGTGCTTACCTTCATCTGAAAAAAAAATCTTCATTTTAATTTGAACTCATAAGCAACAAAAAATAGAAACTACTATATAGATATATAATATTATAACAGTATTTTGATCCGAAGGGTCGTATCACGTCGAGTTGACAGGCGCGGATCATCGGATCTAACGAGACGCGAAGCGTCGAGTTTGATCTGATGATCCGCGCCTGTCAACGAGACGTGATACGGCTCTTCGGATCAAGTTACTGTTATAATGATAAATTTATTATATACCCCCTTATAACTAGCAAAATATAGCAAAAGAAAACTTTGGAGATCAATTGCATAACATTTATCCATAAAACAAAGCATAATAACGAGGGACTTTTTAACGCGCAAAAAATAATATCATATTTCTGCGTACTACGTCATCAGTTTCAGAGAGTGGTGATATGGATTCAGAAAACAACATGTTGGTGATCCGGAAAAATCCGGATCACGACGTCACGTGATAGCGTAAATTCTACAGTAAAATTGGGTGATACACATTAGGTATATAATAAAATTCCATATCATATGACAACATGTACTTCTTGTTTGTTGTCAATTTAGGTTTTTTTTATTGTTGTTAAAAATAAGGTTGAGATTTTGTGTTTCTCTTCTATAATACATTTCATTATAATGGAGACCTTTGAAGTAATAACATTGATATATATATTCTTTATCTTGTGATCTCAATCAAATTTCCATATTTTCAATTACTTTACTACTTAGTTTCTGGACTTTAAGGATAATTAACACAAGCAAACTTCTTTTTCCTGATATCAGCAATGTTTCTAATTTTTATAGAATTATGTTGAAATTGATTACCTGAATAGTGTTTAGTGCTTACCAAGTATAGTGGGAGAATTTCATAAGATTTTGTCATCAAACTCAAAATTTTATTACAAATCAACCCAGGCATCAAATTTTTGTGGGTGTTAAGTACCCTTAAAGGACCAACTTTTAATCATATTAAGGAAGAGCATCAAGGTATTTATATCAATTCGAAAATAATGTACATTCTGTATATTTCAAAACTATTATTTTAAACTTTGATTTTATTGTATCTCGCAGATCATATCTGGTTCATTTTAGCATCTAAAGACAACATTTCACACTACCTCTTTCCAGTATTCAAGGATTTCTGTCGTGTCAATATTGTGTTTTTTCTCCACAGGACAGGAAGGGCACAGAAGAGTCGGCTCTGTTAGCTCAGATTCCTTGATCACGTGACTTTTTTTACTGTCACAAAAGCCAATAGGTTTGCATTTAAAGCCAATTTGGAATTTCAAGTTTCTTTGAAATGTGCTGGACAGAGTGTCCAATTCATCTTCAATCTTCTTTCTTATCTTGATACATGTTGTTATTTCCACTTCTCCTTCAACTACGTACACCTGCAACTGAATTTCTGATTGGGTCATTCCAAGCAGAACACAGTGTTTCTCAAACAGAAACACTGCTGCTGTCTGGTAAATGCATGGTCGTGCTCTTCCGTCTTCATTTACTTTGACAATTTTCCATGGAAATTGCACGCAACTAGCAACAAGACGCTGAAAAATTCCAGCAGGTAGAAAATCAAACATGTAGCATAGGATGGACGAGGCAGGGTGTGATGAAAAACTGCGTACAGGAAATGGTCTTTTGTTCATACAGGGAACATACCAACTGTTGTCTTCCATTTTAGCCAAGAGTCCTAGCTTTTCCATGTAGCGCATGATATCTTCTTTGCGTTCTAGGTATCCGTTCTTGTTCATTTCCCATATCGCAGACAGCAGTGTGTCACCCAGTTCTCCAGTTTCATTAAATTTGTCCCATTGTGAGGCAAGCTTAAATAAATCCTCTGCTGCATGGTTTTTATCAGTAATGACATTTTTGAATGCATCAGCAAACCATTGAACATCAAGAATTATTATTCCAGTCAGAGATTCTTGGTCAAAGTGTAAAATTTCTCTGATGTCATGGAAAAACTGCAGCATGGTTTTAATATCTTCGTCTTTTTCTAACTTCAGTTCTTGTGGCAATGCTTCATTAAAAGCCAAAAGTGCTTCTTTGCTGATGATTCTAAGATTTTTCTTTTCTTGAAAGAATTTTTCAAACAAAGCCCAGGAGTATGGAAGTTTTTCACCCCAGTGATCAAGTCTTTGGACAACATCAACAACGGACAGCTTGATTTTTTCAATGCCTTCATTCTCATGGAATCCAATAGCAAACATTCTTTTCCTGTCAATATGGTTTTGCAGAGACGCATCCTTTGTGTCCAGTCTTGTCCATATCTCACGGAAAAACTTTTCTTTCTCCTGATAAAAAAAGTAATGGAGTTTTAAAGTATTACACTAGAAAACAATGGAAAGTTATTATAATTGTGTTTTTTGTTGGGGTTACATACGTTTCAGTTTATTAATAATTAATCATAGTTTTGTTTCACGTTATGTTGATAGAATTTAAACATGTTTAAATATGCCTGAATCTAGACTAACAACCTGCAAGCTGAGTATTGCTTCCACTTAAATATGATTATTAGTTTCACTGCTGATCTTGTAAAGTTTTTTTCGTATTTTACCTTTATAATTGGATAAAAGCATGAATGCCTATTTCTCACTTAGTACACAGGCTAGAAAAAAACGCAATTCAGTTCAGTATTGAAAGATTCACAAAACTTGGAAAGGGGGCTTGGATTTGATTTAATACAACTTGATAATGAAGCAAATAACTGCTATTTTTGAAAATGTTTCACTTTACAAATTAAAATATTATCCCCAATTTTGTCTTCCCTACCCTAGGTGTCATTTTAAAGATCTAAAGAAATTTGAACTTTCATTACTCTACTTTAGGATCCTTACATGTCAATATGAATAAACATAACATTTATGTTCTTCATTTTTTTGTTACATTTTTTTTTAAATTATTAAAAACAAATTTTGATCAAACATTATGGCCCCACCCAAACCCCAGCGGTCATAATTTGATCAAAATATACACTGTATTTAATTTTTTCAGAAATCTTTCGAACAAATTTTATCTTTTCAACCCTCTGGTTCTTACGAATAAAACCACCCAGTTCTCACTATGTCTCACAATCTGGGTACCAGTAAGTTTGGTTGAAATTAGACCAGCGATTATTGAGAAAATTATTCAAACTATAAAACGAAGATGATCATTTGATCAAAAACCTTATTTGCTCCTAAGCTTAGAAAAGCTAAAAAAATCTTTCGCATTTCTATCAGATACCTCTTTTGTCTTTTGTTCAGCATGAGTGCCCACCAGTAATACAGGAGCCTTTTCACTGCTGTATTGATGAATGGACTTGGCCCAGAAGGTTAGATAGTCTGAATAAAATAAAAAAAAACAACATTTACTCAACAACTTTCCTCGTTCATTATAGACAAACCCTACACTCTTTTGATAATCATTTAAAGTTCATACGAAACAATGTCCTGCGTATTTTGGGTTGTATACGGAAACGAGTTCATCTGAGCAACATTAATCAGCCTGAAATAACATTTTGGATTTTTTACGCAAGTTGGAGGCAGCAGAGTCAATCAAAGATACTTGACTGCGAAGATGAACTTCTACTTGCCCGGCTTATCGCCCTTTGGTTATGACGTCAATAAGACCAACTCGCCAAATTCAGTACTAATATTTATATAGCCGATCATGTCTTATGCAGCGTGATTTTTAAGAAATAGCATTGTGTTGACTAAAAATTTGCATGAATATATGATTTTCATATAAGGGCTGTCAAATAGCATTACAGTTGAATAAATTTCTAACACAAAAATATGATTTGTTAAATTTCCAATAATTTTTTTTAAGAACGATCAGAATATGAGCACTATCGATTATCGATCGGTAGCACGCGCATATAAGTAAAGCTGGATTCGATTGACAGCGGTGTGTGAAAGTGAAACTAAACCTAATGATAAATGATGTCATTTATTAACTGTTTATGCAAATGAAAAGATTCTATGAGATCGCTACCTCGCTTTCTCCTCTCTCAGTTATTCCTTATACCTTTTCTTTGGCTATCATGATCCCTTTCTCATTGACTCTTTCTCATCCCGTATTTTTTTTTTTACCAAAGTCGGTACATTTACACTTAACACTGTACTATGTGCCTTTTTTAAACGCAATTAATTCTATCTATATATCTAATCCTACGTGTCTGTTTGTATTTACAAATCATATTTTCTAAATTTGTATCAGTTTATTTAATTAAATTATTAGATAAAATTCTGCGAAAAAGAATGTTTAACTGTAAAAATATTTGATTCTTAAAATTGTTTATGTTCAGTCTCGCAAACAATGGGCATGGGGGCATATGTGTTTCCTTTCAACGGATCATCTTACACACGCACTGTATGAGTATTTTCAAACTGCAGTAAATCAAACTGTTTTAGAAGTATCAGTACCGTAACATTACAGTATGTAGGTTTATTCACGTGCATACTTGTAAATAAATAAATGCTTATAAGTTTTTTATATCACGTTTCTTGTGACAGCAATAACCTAAGGACTATTTCTCTATATCATTTTTATGAGATCTCGTGTTTCAGATTGGAGAAGTTATGCCGACTTTTTATAGATCAATGTTCATCATAAACTTCAATATCCCTGTGTTTATTTAGGGAAAGTGGGGGGGGGGGGGGTTGTTACATCATGTATCATATACGTATAAAAAAATCAAGCAAGGAGATTGTTGTTTCTAAGGTATTAATTTAAAATTTTGGATGGAGTGAAAAATCTTGATTTCATCAGGGTTTTCACCAGGATCATCTTACTATGAATAGCTCTCGTTTTCAGTTGCTGTGCCTAATCAACGATAAGTTTAAATAGAGTAAACTGTTCTTTAGATTCAGATAGCTCATTTAAAAACATAATCACATTTATATCCACAAAAAATACTTAAATTAACTCTATAAAATATAGTGAAATAACACTAGATTTAACGCGTTGTTTACATCAATGGGTCGTTGTGACGTCATGCAAACACAAAATTAAGAACGATAAGCGGGTAACAAATTTATCAAGTGGGCAAGTTTAGGCCTTCATTTTTCAGTTAAGCAAACGCTAAATATTTTAACCAAATGTAATTTAACGTAGGTCGCGGGTTTGCTGACGTCATTTAAACTGGGTACGCAATTTATATGATTTGGGCGACTTTCTTGTGCACATCTGATTATGACGTCACGGTGAGAAAGGGAAAAATTCAGTGCATTATCTAGCTGTAACTTTTGTAAAAATGGGTAGTTTAGTGTAACAATATTCATAGAACATGCTGAAGTTATAAAAAATAATGAAGGCTTATTTTGATTCCAATGTCCAACACTGAAAGTGTTAGAAAGCGTTTCATTATGTGTTATTAATCGCATCTTCTCGGGTCTATTCTGAGAGCACATCTACTTGTTTCGAAATAAATTTTAACCCTTGTATCATGTATAATTTATAAATATTAAATACATGTATTGAATGTGTATAATTATAAAACAGGTTATCTAACCCCGAATTACACTCGATACCCCCTCCTCAGAAAAGCACTCATTTTAGTCACATGCACCTGACGTTACTTATTTTTCTTTTAATAAAAAAAAATATACACATACCTAATAATAAACGTCTATTATTAGGTATGTGTATTTTTTTCTTATTAAAAGAAAAATAAGTAACGTCAGGTGCCTGTGATTTTAGTGTACACTTTCAGTGGAAATGCACTAACAAACTGTTTATTACCATTGTCTTCTACGAAAATTTATCTACACAACCATTTATGGCATGCATGTCTTTGTTTTCATTTATCTCCGTAAACAGCGTCAACACTTTGCTCACCGATGGAAAGTCGAACTCAATATTTATGAAACGGTATGTGCTAATCTCGGACGAATCTATATACAGGTTGATCACAAATTAAAAACTGCTAAGGCGCTACCGGGGTAATACTGCTGAAATAATCATTTTTGAGCGGCATTGACCTCTTGTAAATAACCACAGACACGTAGGATATGACCCCCTCCCTTCTTTCCATTTCTTACTTCCTAACGCGGGGGGGGGGGGGGGGGGGGGTAAACGTTTTCCATTTTTTTTAAATTTCAACTCCACCCTATATGTGCATGTTGATTTAATTGAAATATTTACTAATCAAAAGCACATACATAAAGAATTATACAAATGGAAATCTGAAAAGGAAGAAGAGCGTTTTTCAAATTTATCGATGTCTGCATATTCCATGATTCTCTACGCTTAAGATTGTGATCATGCAAGTGAAGATAAAGTGAGGCAGACGTCGAGAATAAGAACAAATTGCAAGCTGTCTCTTCTTATGTATCAGTCGAAAACGAAAAACATGTATTTAAAAACAGCGTAAAGAGATAAAAGGGTTACATTATTAATAACATGCAATAGGTATTAAAAATCTAAAATAGGAAAACCCCCAGAAAAAACAGAAAGGGGGGGGTCGATACTCAATTGCCTGTATAACTAACGGCATGCGTTGTTTTTAGTTACATGTACATATTTTATTTGCTGCGTTGCTTTCCATATTCATTCAGTACAATTAATGTTATATGTATAAATTGAAAGTCTAAGAACAAAATAAAATCTGCCTGTTGATTGCGCCAAACAAAGCGAAAAAACATATTTCGGGGTTGGGGTTGGGGGTGGTAGTAGTCCTTGACTTTTCAAACAAATTTAGATCACAGATCTGCGATTTCAACGGGGATGGGAAGTCTGCCTTTTCCAGAGGGGAATACAAGGTCACTTTTATTTTACAAATTCTGGCGAGAATCCGCGCATGAATAAAAAAAAAAACGGAAACGGTAAGAAATAAACACATAAAGAAAATATATATATATATATATGTATCTATGTAAAAGTGAATTTCTTTGTGCTTTCTATATCAATATTTCTTCACTTAGGGCAGTTATATTAGTTTAAGAGTTGTTGTAAAATGTGCTTTATAAATAATAATTAATTTCATTACAACGTGTATTGGTAACAATCCTCTGTTAAAACTAATGTCCAAATAACTGTATCTCACTTCTATTCTCAATGACCGTGTAGTGTAGGACAGCGCCGCGAGAATTCCATCGGCATCGAAAGCAAGTTTTTAACTTGCCTAGATAGCCGAGCGGTCTAGCGCGCTGTTCCTGCACTGCTAGGAGACAGATTCCGAAGGTCGAGAGTTCAACCCCGGGCTGGGGCGGAAGTGGGTATCTATGTAAAAGTGAATTTCTTTGTGCTTTCTATATCAATATTTCTTCACTTAGGGCAGTTATATTAGTTTAAGAGTTGTTGTAAAATGTGCTTTATAAATAATAACTAGATGCTGTCATGAGACAGTAATACCCGCACTAAGGTGTTTGCCTCTAAATGCACACTCCTCTAAAATTAGGCTTTACCAAAGAAAAAGTCAATATAATTTAATAATTTACATAATAGCTAGGGCCTCCATGTATTCATCAAATTGAGCATAATATTCACAAGTGAACATGTGACCCATGGGCCTCGATCTTATAGGTACATGTATTTCATATTCATAATTCATTACCAGTCTGAAATTAAACAACAGAATTCAATTAATGATGTAAATTAGGTTTGAAACAAGGGGGGGTAAATTTTTGGCCCATAATTGGAACTTTTTAAATCTATTTTCTCATATAGATCAACAACAAATATTATTCAAATTAGTTTAAAGCGTTTTTGATTATTTTTTCCAAAATGTACAAACTTTTTTATACTTGATTAGGCAGAAACACCCTGAAAGCTGCCATATACCATGTATACCCAATCAATTTAGTCAACCCCCACCCTTCTCCCATCAACACACACACACGCAAACACACCCTATTTTCCTGTTTTTGGAAATAGGCCTAGATGGCAAAGTTAAGATAAAACATCTTTTGTAAATAATAATTTTAAATTTGTTCTTATACTGTAAATGTATATGAAGACCTGCATCACATTGGGCTTGCGTCACGTACCTAACTTAAGTACTAGTTTTACCATAATCATTTTTAGATAGCACTGCACGTGCAGTACTAGGCCTAGTGTTGTGTACACATCATTGCATGTATGTCAGTTGGAATTATTTTGTGTTTAATTGGATTATATTTCATGAAGTTGGAGCTATGGCAGTCGGTAAGTACACGTTTTGGTATAGATTTGGGTAAAATAGTCTGAAATGCAACTGGTTAGGTTAAAGTTTAAAGGATCAAAGGTCATCCGATGCTGCAATGAGACGAATTTCACATTCTAAAGAGTTATCGCCCGTTATCGACGTTACATTCAGTTACAAAAAACAGAATTTTTTTCTGAGAGGGAGGGGGGACTTCCA